AAGTTGTGTAGACCACTAAGCTCAATGAGCAAAGCAATTAACATGAAAGGCTCAACTAGCACCAACCAGTTCAGTAAATCTTTACACAATATAGTATTGTATCTCACAATACAATAAAAGTACTATGAGATAAAAGTTATCTCAAATTGACTATGATTGATCTGTGTTTTGATAATTCCACTTGCCTTTGTGTAGTAACAAACAATATGAAGTAAATTTGTTTGTGCCTACTGGATGGTATATGGGAAAAAAACATTGGTGGAGGATAGGGCATACTGGTGGTAGGTCTGGTGTTGGAATATTTAATAGCTAAAACAACTCTATTATGAACAACTTGGAAAGTCACCATGCTATAATAAAAGCATTACAAAAACCTCACCTCTATGGCAAGAATCTAACAGACATGTAAGTTGCTATCAGAGGAGTTGGTTACGTGCTGACTCTATTAGAATATGGGCATAGGTACGGGACATGGGAGAGGAATTTCTGGCCTGTGGGCAATATAAGGCTTGCAAAATCATGTTGTTTGGCCCTGACATGTGAAGGGACATACATGTCTTGTTGGCTGCCTGTGGCTTGTCTGCCTAAACTGCAGGGTCTACAAATAATTTTGTAAATATACAAATACCTCTTGGATAGGCAGTTATTTTTAGCCATAACAATCATTGTGAAATTTCATGCAACATTAAAATAAAGCGTGATAACTGAAAAAGATTTTATCAAGTAGGGCTGAGTTCAATGGGCTGACTGCATGTTCTGTACACAGGAGACTTAGATCTGATCCTAGGCACCACAAAATTCTGAATCCCCAAAAGAATACTAGTAACAAAAAGTAGAATAGACTGAAAAGAAAAATTATTAATTCATGAGATGGAAATATTATTAAATCTCATTCACAAAATTGAAGATAGAAGGCTGTTTTGAAATTAGATAAATTTAGAAATGACCTGTGAAATAATTTCTTTGGAGTTAGCAAATTCAGCAATTAGTATTTACTATCAATATAAGAATCCTTCAAACACCCAGAAACAGCATTTTAACTTATATTTAAATTGAAATTTTATTGCTTTACCAAGGGGTATAAAATACTATATAAATTTCAAGAGTGTGGCATTCCACTTCTCTATGTGTATAGGCCTCCCTGCACCCATTATCAAGGTTCCAATGACATTCTGATCACCACCATCTTCTATTTTCTCTTCCCCTCCTCCTTTGGTAAACATATTATTTGCAGAATCTAGGAGTTTACTCTTGTGTAATTTGTTAGTTCATTTATTTATCTATATTCCAGAGGAGAGGAAGCATTCCATTATTTGACTTTCAGAGGCAATCACTTCAAGATTCATCTACATTGCTACAAAGGCAAGATGTTATCTTTTTAATAGTAGTACTCCATTCATTATATATACACCACATTTCATTATCCATTCCTCTGTGGATATGCATTCTAGTAGTTTCTATTCCTTGACTACTTTGAGTAACGCTGGTAGAAACATAGGGGCATACCATAACCATGCTACCGGACTCCAAGCCAGGCTGCTTTCACTCGGGGCGCCCCAGAAGGGGGCGGGTGAGAGCCCTCCTCACTCCAAGGGACCCAGCCCCGGCAGCCAACCTCTATTACCCAACAGCTACCATGCTCCAGGCCGCTTTCCATATGCTCAGGCCAAGCCTCATGCCATGAGTGAAATCCCATGGAACCCACGCAATGCAGAACTTTGTGACCTTGAACTCTGGGCTCAATGGGACCAGGAGCGGATATCCTCTGCCCGCTTTCCCTAGTCTCCGGTGACCCAGGGGTCACGCTCATAAGCCACCTCCTGCTGGCACCAGATAATCTTGTCATTGGCCACCATCCAGATCACATGACTGCTTCTCCCGAACGGGAGGATAACATGAAGCCCCCATAACCATGTCACTGGACTCCATGCCAGGCTGTATCACACAGGGCACCCCAGAGGGGGGCGGGTGAGAACCCTCCCCACCCCAAGGGACCCAACTTGGGCAGCCAAAAACCTCCATAACCCAACCGCTGCCATGCTCAAGGCCACTCCCCATGCACTCTGGCCGAAACTCACATATGAGTAAACATATTCCTGGACCGTGCAGCCACAAAAGTGGCCACGCAACACATCATAAAATACTTCCTACCCATTCTCCATAATTACCACACCACATTTGATGGCGTTCAGATAGCAGGCAACAAATCATAGAAGGAAAAAAATATATATGCATATATACATATTTTCAGATATATATACCAAGTAAAGTAAAGTAAAGGCCCTCCCGTTGATCATCGATTTGCTTGAGTGGGCCCAGTAGCGTCTCCATTGGAGACTTTGTTGTTACTGTGTTTGGCATATCGAATACGTCATGGGGAGCTTGCCAGGCTCTGCCGTGCAGGCGAGATACTCTCGGTAGCTTGCCGGGCTCTCCGAGATGGGCGGAGGAATCGAACTCGGGTCGGCTATGTTGGCTGCATGCAAGGCATGCATGCAAGGCAAACGCCCTACCACTGTGCTATCGCTCCGTCCCTCTTGGAGAGCCCGGCAAGCTACCGAGAGTATCTCGCCTGCACGGAGAGGCTGGCAAGCTACCCGTGACGTATTCGATATGCCAAACACAGTAACAACAAAGTCTCCAATAGAGGCGTTACTGGGCCGCTCGAGCAAATCGACGAACGACGGGAGGGCCTTTACCTTTTTACCTTTATATATACCAAAGCTCACATCACCCAAACTTTAACAACATGTTAGTGATATCCTATAGAATGACTTAATGGCTCTTGCCAAAATAGAACAATCTTCACACTGTTTCCTATATGAACACTTTTTTGTAAGCATATTCAGCAGTTCTTCATAACAGTTCTCAGCACTGTCCTCCCGTTTTTCATCGATTTGCTCGAGTGGACCCACTAACAGACAGTATGAAATATATTATTTCAGTTGTGTTTTGGGACAGGAATTGGGGTTTGGGATGGAACATCCCAAATTTGGTGGTGGGAAGGTGTTACGGTGATGGGATTGGTGTTTGAATATTGAATGTAATCAAACATTGTGAACTAACTTATAAAATTAAAAAATTAAAAAAAAGTAATGTGGAGTTCATGCCCAATTCATTCACCTTAATCAATGGCTGAATAAATATGCTCCTATATTATTAAAAAAAAGACATAGGGGTATACAGGCCATTCTTACAGGGGTAATTGTGTTCATTTCTTTCTATTTTTTCAGGGAGACAGATTATGAATGCTTTTGGGCCACAGCCAGTATCCTCAGAGTCCTCAGGGTCTTTTATTTTCCAAAGTTTAGAACAATTTTCAACTCATTAGACAACTGAGTTATAAGCAGTAGAAAGGAAGGTGAAGGATTCTTAAAGTATGTCATCTTGGCTTATAATTAAGCAAAATATCCTCTCATGTTTGACTTCACTGTAGTTGTATACTTTCTTTTCATATGGTCTTTTCAACCATTTATCATTACCACTATCACAGCAGTAGGGCGCTTGCCTTGAGTGCAGCCGGTCCGGCCGAGCCGGGTTCTATTCCTCTGCCCCTCTCGGAGAGGCCGGCAAGCTACGGAGAGTATCTCGCCCGCACGACAAAGCCTGGCAAGCTACCTGTGACGTATTCAATATGCCAAACACAGTAACAAGTCTCATGATGGAGACATTACTGGGCCCGCTGGAGCAAAATTGATGAACAATGAGTGGACAGTGGACAGTGCTATCACTATCACTATCACAATCACCCCGTTGTTCATTGATTTGCTCGAGCAGGCACCAGTAACATCTCCATTCATCCCTGTCACGTGCTAGTGTAGCCCGATGGCATATTGGGGCTCTTTTCAGGGTTAGGGGAATGAGGATCATCATTTTTACTGTTTTTGGCATATTGAGTACACCACGGGTAGCTTGCCAGGCTCTGCCATGCAGGTGGGATACTCTCAGTAGCTTGCCGGGCTCTCCGAGAAGGATGGACGCTTTTGGGGCAGCCTTCGATCATCTTTACAGGTGTTCTCAGTCACACATATATGCGAGAAAGATACTCTTAGTTGCCTGCTGGGTTCTCTGAGAGCGAGAACTAGACAACAAGAGGTTGCATGGCTGCATTTGTGGCTGCGCTCTTCCAGGAACTTGGTTTTATAGTTTCTGGATCTTGGCCATTGATGGGGTTATATGGCAGTTGATGGATGTAACTGTCTAGTACTGGAAGATGGGGGATCTGGGTAGAGAAGGCCCAGTCCCAAACTGAGTAGGCTTGGAGATCTCAGCCCCAGGTCCTTCACACCTGGGTTCCTCTGCCAGTTCCTTCATGTGGGTGGAGAGTGATCTCAGCATGGTTGTGTTTGGGTTCTGGAGGTCTTCAGCTGTTGGGGGCTCTGCTTGGGGTGGAGAGGGAAACTCAACCCACCCCCCTCCAATGGGCCCCCGGTGAGGACAGCCAGGTGCAGGGCAGGAGACTCTGCATTGTTCTCTTCCAGGAACTTGGTTTATATTAATGGATTGTTACATAAGACTTTTTTACTGAGTTTCTTGACACGGTTTTTATCTCTTACAAGTCACATTTCCTAGTCTAGTGTGTATGTACGTCATACGCGCAAGTAAACATGGAGGGGCCAAAACTCAGTGCTTCAGAGCTGGGACCATAAGCCCTGTTTTGGTGGTACTCCCTGTGCCCTAAGTGTTGCATCTGCTTTAGGCAATGACTGGCTTTCTGACTGTACACTGGCAATGGCCCAACTTCCCTCCCCTACTTCCACCCCAAACATGCTATTCTAGTTCACATCAAAACATATACCACAGGAAGGAGGCAGTGTGAAAGTATAAGAAAAAGCTATGACACACAATTAAAGGGCAAGGAATAGGGGATAACCTATAATTATCATATTCTATTCTCTTTTTAACACTCTCAGTCCTTAGAAATTAAAATAACTGAACAAACATGCATTCCTATATGTGTATATATATAACATCATTCTAAAAATGGGTCTCATACTGACCTTAGGAGGTTTAAATGGATAGTCTGGTGAAAAAGTAATGTCAAGAAAGAAAACCCCTCCTTCATAGACAGATCCTGGGGGTCCCAATATAGTTGATCTCCATTCATAAATGTTGTCTCCTTTAGGTCCAGCACTGAAACAAAACATATAAATTAAATGTGATCAGATTTCATAAAGCTGTGATTAAAAAATCTATTTTTGTAACAATAAATTGAATAATTTTATAAAAACACAAGAAAATAAGTCAATTCTATATATTGACAGATTTATCATCAATATTTTAAACATGTTAGCTTAACTTAATAAACAGAATTGAGAGCTTCTCTTTTCCCATCCACAACCCTTAGCCTGTGGATTAGATGCACAAATGCTTATAAAACATGAAATGATTTGTGAGATCCTGAAAAGAGTGATAAAGTCACAGGGTCGGGGGGGAAGGGAAGGAAGAAAAGAAGTAAGGAATCCTTATTTCACATAAATCACAAATCAATTCAAAGAGGATTAAAAAAACTCAAGATTATACAAGGCTCTATAAAATACATGAGGAAAACATAAGCCAAACTCTCTTAAATACAGCTTTCAGAGGTATCTTAAATGACTTGATTCCTTTGGCAAAGGTAACTGAACAAAAAATAAACAAATGAAAATCCATCAAATTAAGGAAGTCTTTTCAAGGCAAAAGAAAGCTCTGGCTTAAGTAAAAAGTCACCATACTGAATAGAAGGACATATTTGCATAGCAAACATCAGATATAGGGCTTAAAACAGCCAAGATAAATAAAGCATTCACAAAACTCAGTAACAACCAAACCAGTCACTCTTAAAAAATGGGGGAGAAGAAATGAACAGATACTTTCCTGAAGGAGACATATAGATGGCCGTAGGCATATGAAAGTGTTCATAGTCACTACTATCAGGGACATGCAAATGAAAATGATGAGATATTATCCCACACCAGTGAGAATAGAATATATAAAAACAACTGGGAACAATCAGAGTTTGTGAGGACGCAGTAAAAATGGAACCCTTATTTGCTGCTGGTAGGACAGTTATCTGTTTCAGCAGTATGGAGCCTTACCCACATTGCTATCTTTCCAGCCCAATCAAAAGAATATTTTAACATAAAGGATTACACAAATATTTTAGTTTCCAGTCTCAAATAAAAGTGAACATATAAGTATTATGTACAATAGCATTATTTATTTATTTAGGGCCACATCTACAAGGGCTCAGAACTTACTATCTCTCTGGCCTTTAAAATAGCATTCTTTAAAAACAGAATGTACAACTGAAGATAACATATTTCCAGTAACAGTGGATAACTCAAATAACTACCATATAACAATAAAAATGTCTGGATTACTATGGATGTATCTTAAAAAAATCACAAAAAATATAAAAAATCCCCCACAAGTCTAAAAGGAATATATGTAGTGTGATATATTTCTACAAAGTTAAATGTAACACTTGAGAGATAGTATAGTGGACAAGATACATGCCTTGCATGCAACCAACCTGGGTTCAATCCCTGGCATCCCATATGGATCCCTAAACACCATTAGGAGTAACTCCTGAGCACAGAGCCAGGAGTAAACCCTAAACCCAGCTGGGTATGGCCCAAATAGACAAAACAAAATTTATCTAGCAAACAGAAAATCTGTTGTTGAGATATATTTATGTAACTGGTAAGCAGGAGAACTAATTTGAATACAGATCCAAAGAGGATTTTCCTGGGTCAAAGCAGAGAATGGAGTAGCACAAAGGGCTTTTAATACTCCTAGTGATGCCCTATTTCTTAGTATCATGATAAATTAATAAGTCTATTTCATTAGTAGGTTTCTAACGTATGTGTTAGTTACATTCTAATATATAAAAATTTTAAATTAAGAAAAGGGATGCTAAAAAAGAATATATCAAAATTCTATATAAGAACAGTAAGTTGCACCACATATTGTTGAGACAGTATTGTTTACATTAGACGCATAAAATATTTAATACTGCTTATGAATACATTTCATCCCCAAAATCTTTTAAGAAATGAACCGAAAAGTTACATGAAAGTTAATGTGTGCACTTGAGCAAGAAAAAAGGAAGAGAAGGGGTGGGGGTGAGACAGCGGAGGAAACAGGTTCGCAGACATGAATAAAGACCAGTTAAATTTTATCTCTAGAGCTTGATTTTTCTTATTAAAAACAGATGAAATACAAATAAAATCAAATTAACTTATTGAAAAGTGTTGCAACACACTAAGGAGTGGTAAGGTAATCAAAAAACAATATTTCTGCCCATAAATATTCCTCTCTTAAAGTTATCTGTGAAGTACAGACAGAAATGTATTCAGGCCAGATAACAAGAAAGCTTGGGCAATAACAACAGCTTCATGTTGTTAGACAGGCTCAGTCAGACATGAATAATTCATATGGTTATGCTCTGAGCTATAATTAGACCCAAAATGAATAGATAAGTTTATCAGAAGGAAGAGTTTAAAAATAAATTACAGGTTTATACTCACATTACTTCAAGGTAGATGAAGAAATTTAGTTTAAAATTACAAAGAAGGGTATATAGTTATTAAACAATGAGCAAAGACATATTTCCCAAATATAAAGTGTCTGGGGCATTTGAGAAATTTTAAGATGATCTTCCAAGAATGATAAAATAAATTATTATTATTTTAATTTTATTTTGGGCACTCTGTGGTTCACAAAGCTATTAATAGCAGGGCTTTGTGAAGAAAATATCCCAGTAGCACACACCCAAGCTATATCTGCTTCCCTCCCCTCCACTGCCAGTGGGCCTTCCCTCCACAATGCCCCCACCTGTGGCAGGCTTTCTACTGAAGATCTTTTCTTAATTTCAGTTATCTTTTGGTACTAGTCTCAGTTTCTGTTATCTTTGGGTATTTGTTGTTCTTTATATTTTGCACATGAGATCATTCTTTGTCCTCTCCTAACTTCATTAAGCATGATACTCTCTAGACATATCTTCATAGCAGCAAATTGCATGACTTCTATTCTTAAGTTGTATAGTATTCCATTGTGTGTATGCATCATATTTTCTATATCCAGTCATCTACTCTTAGACAGTTGGGTAGTTTCCAAATTTGGCTATTGTGAATAGTGCTGCAATGAGCACAGGCATGCAACTGTCTTTCCTGAATAGTTCTTATGTCTGTGGGATAGATTCCAAGAACTGGAATTGCTGGGTTCAAATTTCTAGTGCTTTTGAGAAGTGTCCATATAGTTTCCCAAAAAAGTTTGGACCAATGGACATCTGTCACAGCAATGAATGAGTATTTCCACTAGTCTCTCCGCTTACCCTGCCAACACTGGATATGTTGTTCTTTGTGACAGATTCTAGTTTCACCTGTGTGAAATGGTATCTCATTGTTGTTCTGATGTTCTGTTGTTCTGCAATTCCCTGATGATAAAGTACTGCACAGAATTTTGAATAAACTATTTTACTATCTGTATATCTTCTTTGAGCAAAGTTTGGCTTCACATCCACCTCTGCTACGTCCTCCCCCCGCCCCGGCCCTCTTCCCCATGATGGGTTTGGTTGCTTTTTCTTACAAAGTGTTAATTTGTAAGAAACATTTTACATATCTTAAATATCAACCCTTTAAACATGAGTGGTGGGTAAATATACTCTCCCAGTTTGTTAGTTGTCTTTTCATTCTGTTAGTGTTTCCTTTGTGGTGCAGAAGCTCTTTAGTTTGATGTGGCTCCACTTGCTTCCATTTGGTTGGCCAATGGCATTGAATCATTGAAGGCATCACTAGATCTAATGTCATTAGGTATTCTACCTAGTTTTTCAATATAATCTATGAATTTAGGTATGACATCAAGGTTTTTAATCTATTTGATTTGACTTTTGTGGATGGTGTTAGATAGGGATTTCAGTTTATTTTTATTTACAAGTGACTGGCCAGTTATCCCACACCATTTACTGAGGCTTTCATTGTTCCACTTCATATTTTTTTCTCCTTTATCAAAGATTAACTGTCCAGGTAACCTAGGATCTATTTTGGACTCTTAATTCTTTCCCACTGATTTAAGAGTCTTTCCTTATCCCAGTAACACGCTGTCTTGCTTACTGCAGCTTTACAGTATAATTTGAAGTTTGGAAAAGAAAAGCATCCCATCTACTTTTCTCACAGAACTGCAACTTGGCAGGGGTGGGGTGGTGTTAAAATTAGACATAAACATTAACAGCATTTGCTCTATGACTTAAAAGAAAATGTCATGGCATTTTAATAGAGATTGCACTGAATTTGTACCCTCCCTCCCTCTTTCCATCCCTCCCTCTCTCTCTCCCTTCCTTCTGTTTAAGTGGCTATGCTCAGGGGTGACTCCTGGCTCTGCACTCAGGAATTACTCCTGGCGATGCTTAGGGGACCATTTGGGATCTCGGGTCTCAAACCCGGGTTGGCCATGTGCAAGGCAAACACCCTTCCTGCTGTACTATTATTCAGGACTCAGGATTATCATTTTGACAATACCAATCCTTCCAATCCAAAATCATGCTGAATCCTTTTTGGATAAAGTGTCCTTTTTGGATTCAGCACGACCATCCATATCCACATGGTGACCAAGCTCACTGAGGTTTCCCGAGAGTTCAAGATGCTGCCCTGTCTAACGTTCATTGATTTAAAGAAGGCCTTTGATTCTGTTGGGACTGAAGCAGTCATCGAAGCCCTAGCCAAACAGGGCATTCAAACTCAGTACATCAGGATCCTCTGTGAGCTGTATTTGGATTCACCACCAGGATCTCACCATTCTACAAGGAAATGACCATCAACATAAAGAGAGGGGTTTGACAGAGTGATACCATTTCACCGAAACACTTCAGTGCCACCCTCAAGAATATCATGCTGGAATGGGAAGGAATGGGAGTGAAGATAGACAGTCGGCAAATACACTACTTCTCCTTCGTTGATGACATCGTTCTAAAATAACACCAAATATCAGAATGCTGGCTGACTTCGACTGTGAGTGTAGAAAGGTTGGACTGCACCTGAATCTCATGAAGACAATGTTTAAGAGAAATGGACTAGTTTCTGACGTTCCATTTGCCCTCAACGGAATGAACATCTCTGAATGCAGTTATGTGTACCGAGGTCGAGAACTCAAAA